CCCCGAGGCTTTAAGCACAGCCCTGGCTCCGTCTCACCAATCACAACCCCCTTCTCCAAAAGGCTGCTCAACTCAATTTGGGGAAGTGGCGTCTGTTGACGGTGCCGGGAGGAAGAAGGTGCCAGACACGGCGTGGGGGATCTCCACCCTTTTGGCCTCAAGTCCCTGGAGCTTTTCACCCACATCCCCCGCCACGAGAGCAGCTCCTGCTCCCTCTTCCCTGGCACAGCCACACAGCCAGCTCCGAGGGGTGTCCTGGCCACTGTCTGCAGCCCCTGGCTCTGCCACATCCCCAAATACCACCCCCAGCATGAAACCCCTCAGGCTGAGCTCTGCATCTGCCTGGGGGCTCTCTGTCCTCACACCCACAAAGGACTGAAGAGTGGCTAAAACCCTCCCTGGATCACTGGGAGGGTTTGCAAGTCACAGCCAGTGTTTGAACCATGTCACAAACCTCCTTCCCCCAATGTGAAGCTGAGGCCAAGGTGTCCCTCTGAATTTCAGTGGCACACCCAGGGTAGTCTGATGCAGGTAAGGGATCAGGGAAATGCTTCCTTCGGCCCCCCAGTATCCACCTCCTCACAGCAGATCTCCGGGCTCCCTCAGCGACTCGACTGCAGCACCAGGAGACAAAAAAAGGGATCTGGTTATTTTAAGGTTGTTTGAAATGAATAAAGTTACTGAAATGTGCCAAGCACATACACCTGCTGTCTGGGTTTGTGCTGGTGAAGCGCTTCACGAAGAGCTCGCTGTCGGCTTCCGCCCAGAGCTGAGGGCTCCTCCACAGCAAAGCTTCAACAAATTTAGCTCGTTTTTGCATTTTGTTGAAGTTTCAAACTGAAAGTCTCTCTGTGCACAGCCAACATCCCTGGAAGTGTTCAAGGCCAGCTTGGACAGGGCTCGGAGCAGCCTGGTCTGGTGGAAGTTGTCCTTGCCCATGGCAAGGGGGTGGAACAAGGTGGGCTTTGAGGTCCCTTCCAAAACCAGTCCTGTGATTCTATGAGCACCCCATAAAAGGGGGTAAAACTGGCTAGGCTTCAGCTGGCTCAGTGGCAGCAGGTGGGGTGGGGGACACACAGGGTAGGCTCCGGGGATGGCAGCAAGCTCTGGAGGGAGTTCAGGGCATCAGTGAGGCAAAACAAAAAGCGCCCAGGTGAGAAGAGCGAGACCAAAGCAGCAGGCGAGGGAATCAGGAGGAGCTGCACAGCGGGAGGTGCCTCAGGACGGGCCGACGTCTGTGAGCTGAAACAGAGGATGTGCAGAGGGAGGCAAGGGAGGGAAGCAGGACCCGCTCCCCACCTCATCCCGGTCCCATTCCCAGTCCCATTCCGGGGGCGCCGCGCGGTGCATGCTGGGATTTGTGGTCCCCGGGGATGCATCGCCCACCACGTGACCAGCGCCGAGCCAATCGCAGCGGGGTCCTCGTCGCCACGGCAACCCGCCTGTAAAACACAAGATGGCGGCGGGTTGGGTGAGTGAGTGCTTGGGGTCCGGGGGAGCGCGGGGAACCCCCCCGCCGAGGTTCGGGGATCCCCCCCGAGGGTCCCCTAACACCGGAGCTCCGCCCCAGCACACCCCGTGGTGCCCCGGCGCTGCCCCCCCCTCGGCCCCCGCCAAGGTTCACAACCCACGCCTCGCCAAGTCACCTCCCCCAGGAGGTACCTGGTGACCCCCGTTATTCTGAGCCTCTTTTCGCCCACGATCCCTCAAACAGCCCACCCTGCCCCGGTGTACGGGCTGGGGTGATGAGAAAAATGTACAGTTTAGGTTTTTTTAGACGGTTTTTTCAATTATATTTTTAAAAATTCACCCATCGAGCAAACCCCCCCAAAGTTAATGAGCCTGTGCTTTATTTTTATGTACTATCCCCTCTTATTTTTACTGAAAGGGCAGAGCTGTCCAAGTTCATTGCCTTCACAGGCGAGGCAGTTCTTATCACCCTACACATTTTGCAGTGACTGTAGCTCTCTCTCTGCTCTCTCTCTCCTACAACTGTCCAAAATCAGATAACAATCAACAGGCTTCCACATCCTCAGCCAGCCCTAGAGCACAACAAGACGTCACCTATTTTTCCAGTTCCACTTTAGGTCACATCCTCCCCACCAGGTTTCAGAGCAAACCCTCACGTTTCGCTCCCAGTAAAGTTTGCTGTTTCTGATTGCACCTTCCCATCTCCCTGTCTCATATCAAGTGCCCACACACGCTCAGGAATTTGGGAATACTCGTGGGATTGAATGCCCAGGCCACCTGCTCTCCCTTCAGCACAAGCCTGATATTTCTTTCCCTGCTTTTGGAGAAGTTGTATCCAAACACTGACCTGTTTTTCTTCCTTCCATGCTCTCCGTGCTCCTTCTCAGAAGATACCAGGCTGTCTCCTAGGACCAGGAATCCAGTGCAAGGCAGCCTCCCCTCCTGCTCCAGGGGACAACACTGAAAAGGAACATGGAGGGTAAAGTCCCTCAATTATTAGGGGGTTCTGAGTTTCTCAGTGACACCCCAGGCCAGACCTAATTTCTGTGGTCCCCCTCTCGCCTACACAACGTGCTGTTGGTGACACAGCCACCCCCTTACCCCCCAAAAATATCCTCGTCCTCCCTGCTGTGGCAGAGCAGGAATTCTGGTGTGGGGCCCCCCGTGTGCCCCCCGTTTCAGAGAGGTAACAGGTATTTGTGCCTCCAGGTGCAGCTCACACCGACACGGAGCTCACGCCCTCCACGACGCAAAAAATCTCTCTGTTGGAACAAAAAATAGAGAAACAGGCACAAGAAATCCAGCTGAAGGTAAAAATCAGCCCCCCTGCTCTGTGTCCTGCTTTGATGGTTGAAGCCACAGCAGTTCCACCTGCTCAGACCTTGTTTGGGCTAAAAGAAGTTAATCTGTGGCTTGCTCTGTTAATTACCCAAAGGAGCCTTTGCAAAGCAACAGAGCAATTGGATCAGGCCTTGGGGTGGGAGAGGGGATTATAGCAGTGACTCCCAGCACCCTGGCACTAATATATCAGCAGCTCTTTGGCTTCAGACCTTTTATTTTTCCCCCTTCCTTTTGTTTTCTGAAACAGCAGCTGCTCCCACAACAGAGTCATCCCAGAGCAGACCTCTCTGCATTACTGAATGGAATAGATACCCTTTAATAAATACCCTTTAAAAGCTTGGAATTAATACCCTGTTTTGTTTCATTTTTGAAGAAGTGGCTGCAGAGATGCTGCTTTAGTCTCCAGATCAGCCCCTCAGCAGGAAGCACAGGAGCCTGTGTGTGCCCACAGCTCTCGTGCAGATGGAGGACTGAGAGATAGGTCACCAATTCCTGGAGTTCTGTATTTATCCCACCCCTCACTTGAGCCTAAATAAGGTGTTTGTGAGGTGATTCAGCCCTTCTGACCCTTGTTTTGCCTGTCTCTGAGTGGGGTGGGAGTACCTGCACCAGACTCACCCAGGACTAGTTGTGCCAACTGTGCCTTGAGGCCCTGAGGCCCAGGAACTAAGTGAGGTCATTATTTGTTCTGTCCCTGCAGGACAGGAGGATTGCTGAACTCGAGGAGAAGATAAAGACTCTTCAGGAAGGGGAAGGTAAAACTTGATCGACCTCTGGCACCTCTGGGAGGGCAGCAGAGCTCCTGGTGCTGCAACAGAGCTTCTCCCTGAGCTGTCCTTGGCTCCCAAGCCCAGGGGCCTCTTTGGTGAGAGGTACCAGCCACACTGGTGCCATTTCCTAAAGCAGATCTGCACTTTAACTCGCATCTGTTACTCGGCTTTTTCTGGTGCAGCGCAAATCATCATTTCCTGGCCTATTTTCTGTGGGTTACTAAGTTTCCATGAGTGTAAACCAACCACCCAGACACCCGAGGATGGCCAGGAGAAAAAAAAAACAAACCAAAAAATCGGTAAACACTGCAGAGTTCAAACAGGTAGGAAAACAGCTACAGCTGAAAGAAACCAAAAATCTGCTTGGAGTCTCCAACAGGTCCAGGCTCACTTGTCCTGCAAGGCAGCCTAACTCTAAATTGAACCCAGATTTAAGTGAGTCACCAAAGGTCTTTTCCCCTATTCAATTCCTCAGAATCCAGCAGCTCTCCAGCTGAGCCCACACACGTTTTCTGCAATGGCTGAACTACATTGTTAATGCAAAGCTGTGGTAAATTCTCCATTTCCTGAGTGAAAAAACACGACTGTGCCTGTCAAACCACAATCATGTGTGGTTTGTGCCTCACCCCGCGTTGTTCTGCCACTCAGCCAAGATTTCTGGACCCAGCTTTAGTGGACACCTGCTCATTTTTTCTAATGGGCTGAGGAAGCCAAGCAGTTTTCATTGCATAATTGCCAACAGCACCACTCACATCAGCTTCCTGCACCGTAAAACTTGGCCAGTGTCGTTCACAGCTATCTCCTGGTCTGTCAGCATCCTTGTCAAACCACTGCAGGCTGAACTGTCAGAGTCCAGCACTCAGAGCTCATGTTCAGCTCCTGTGTCACGCTTGAGGTCACTCACAGTGCAGGCAGGGTGCTGCTGGGGGTCTGTGCTGTGTCACAGGTTTTATCTACAGCTCTTCTTTAAGTCTGTGCACAGAAACATCAGCTCTTCTTTTTCAGGTGCTCCTGACTCATCCACCCTGGAAGAGCTGGAAGGGAGGTGTCTTCAGCTGCAGACCCAGGTCTGCGAGATGGAGGTGAGACACCAGCCTCACTTGCCCTCAGCCCTCACTTGCCCTGCAGTCCCAGGCTGCTTGGCCTTTTCCAAGCTGCCACTTTGGTCATCACAATTCTTCACCTCAGTCTGGAAAGAGAGAGCAGGTTGGATGTCAGCAACAGGGCAGGAGGAGGCTTTTTAAACACACGCAGATATCTGTGCCTCCTGCAAACCTCGTCATTTTGATTTCCAGGACTGTAGAAATATTCCTTGTGGCTCCTACAGTCTTGAGAGATTACACTGTCACTGCAAATGCTTTCCTCCTCCCTTTTGCCTATTACTAGTGGAGCTGCTACTACTGCCCTGCCAGTGAGTCTGTCTGTCTGGGCCAAGGAGCCCCCAAGACAAACCTCTTTTGCCTCCCTTTCTGCTTCTCACAGTCACAACTGACCACACTCAGGCTACCACTTCTGGTTTTCTGAAGCTCTGCTCTTGTACTTTCCCCTCTCAGCGGTTTCTGAGTGACTACGGTCTGATTTGGGTTGGGGAGACACAGGATCAGCTGGAAGACACAGAATCTCTCGGGGATGAAGGGGAGCTGCTCCCAAGGAGCCTCTGGAAGCCAGGTAAAACACCAGCACCCCTGGCTGAAGCAGCTATCCCAGCTCCCACTGCCTGCTTAGAGAAGGTGGAGCAGGTAAGCACCAGAGACCCAGGATCTGGGCCTTCAGAATTTGTGATCCCATGCCGAGATCTTCACATCAATCCCTCCCAGGGACGGGGACATGGAGTGACCTAGCAGGAGCTAAGCCAGGCAGGAGGTTTAATTTTATACATCTATATTTTGTAAGCTCTTCAGGAGAGAACCTGATGGCTCAAGCCCTTTGGGAGGACCTCACAGCAGCTGTTTCCTGCAGAATTCACATACCCTGCACTGTTTGAAGCTTCATTGCTTTAATAATATTGACGTAAAGTGGGTGGAAAGCGGAATCAGGTGCTTTGTGTACACAGCAGTTGTAGTAACATACCCACATTGTCTGGCTCCACCAGGGAGTATTGTTTGCCTTTCCTCCCAACTACCACGTGAGTGGTTTAATTGAGACCTGACTCTGCTGTGTGGGGTCCAAGCATGTTTGGCAATGGCTTCTTAGGAAGTGGTAACAGAGGAAAAAAAAAAAGGAAGAATACTTGGGCTGTAGAGGCAATGCTGCCTCCTAACCACCAGGCAAATATTAGCTAACTAGACCTCCCCACCCTGAGATACAGGAGGGGACGGACAGATGGAAATCAGTAGAAATAGTTTTGATATCAGCTCACTGACCCTTTTTAAGGGCATTTCCCCATCCTCCTTTAGCAAATCATAAAAAAGCAGAACAACAATACAAAGGGCTTTAGCTCAATCTACATCTTTTCTTTCATTTCCTCTTCTGATTTCATTCCTCTGCCCCATCACAACCTTTTCACTGCTTCACCCTGCCACCTTCAAGCACCCAGACAAATATCCTCACAGCGTCCCTGCCCGACCTGCTGATGCAGGCAGCTGCCTGTGTTTACACTGACACCTCTTCAGCACCTCTGCCCTGATCCATTGATCCAATCTAGCTAATCCAACTAGTGAAATTCCTCCCCGTGCACCGTGCAGGGACAACACAACACTTCTGAAGCGACAAACAGGGCAAGGGGTTGAGCGTGGAGCCCTGTGAGTTTGCACCCTCTGCCCTGCCCTTGTGGTTTAGCCCACACCCGGGTGGACCTGGCAGCACTGCACCACAGCACAAGTGTTGCACCACACTCTGCAAACACATGAAAATGTCAGGGCTGAAAACACACCTCAGATTCATACAGATAAAACTGCTCTGCTGCCACCCCTTTCCCCCTGTAACTCCGATCCCTCTGCCACAGGTGAAGCAGTTGTTTCCAAATACCAGATTGATTTTGATTTGATCTTGGAGAACGTTAAATATTTGAACCTGCTGGCTGGAGAAGGCAGTCCTCAAATCAAGCACACACTCCAGGGGGCTCGGCTGAAGCAGCCAGAACCCATCCCTCTCACCCTGTACCAAAATGGGATCATCATGTGCAACGGAGCCTTCCGGCCCTACCAGGACCCATCCACACAGGTATGGAAAGGTCTGGAAGGGAATTAGAGCCATCCTGCCATCCTTCACTAAGCCCCAGGAAAGGCAATAAGGCTTCTGAGCTCATCTCAGTCCTAAAAAGGAGCCCAGCTCCTCACCTCACGTTCCCACAGTGCCTTGAAAGGCTTGTATGTCTCTGTGCAGTAATTTTTAGAGGTGAGATTCTGTGCCTCTGACTTCTCTGCACAGCCATAACACCACAAATAGGAGCAGCCCAGCAGAAAGATCAGTCCTGAGCTAAACAGAAAGTCTGTGGTGTGACCATGAGCTCTCCTGTTGTTTCAGCAATGCCTGCAGGACATCATGGATGGGTATTTCCCTTCAGAGCTGCAGCAGCGCTACCCCGATGGCGTCCCTTTGCAGGCAAGTGCCAAACCCTTTTCACCAGCTTTTTTGGGGAGAAACTGCTCTCTTGCTTCCCAAGAAAACTGTTCAGGTTTCTTTCATCACTCTGCTGGATTGAGTTTGAGGTTTGTGATGCTGTGCAGATGTGTCTGAGGGAAAGGGTAGTGGGGAGCACACCTGCTACAGCCGTTAGAGGAAGTGAGTGAGTGTTTCTGCGTCAGCACTGAAGGGTTTCTCTGCCTCAGTGAATCTTGGCTTGGAACAAGGCTTCTAAGAGCACAGCAGGCTCTGTAAGAGAAGTAGCACGTGCAGCATCTGAAGAGCTGTGTCACCCCAAGGGAAAAAAAGAAAGTTCTCAAATGGTTCCCCTGGAAAAGCTTTTAAAGCCAGATTGAACAAGTGTCTCTCAAAGAGGATGTCATCAGAGTTTATTTTGCACACCTTAAATGGTTTTGGCCACCTGAGGTTCTTTTGGGCCCTGCTTTTTGATTTCTTAGAAATGGCAGAGAGCCAAGGCCACATTTGCAGGCAGAAAGCCTCAGAGGACTCAAATCTAGGGCTTTGAGTGCATCTGAAACGTAAGAAGGAACAGCCAGAGGCTGGACCTACCCACTGCCACGAAGAAACCAGGGCACAGCTGCAGGGGCAAGACAAGGTCAGTCCAGCTGGAGTGAGCTGGGAGCTGTGGAAGTTAGAAAGTCACATGGAAGGAGGATTGTGCAAAGCTCTTGGGGCTGAGGTTCCTTTTAACCTGTGCATCGTTGGTTTTGTTTGGGGTTTATGATTGTTGGGTGTCATTGCTGTGGTTTATCGTGCTCTGATGCAGCAAGAGAAGCTTGTGCAACAGTCAGATTTGCTTATGGCAGTTGGACTTAATTCAACAGGTCACTGACAGAAGGGACGTGGTATTTGAGGAGAGGGACCTTCCAAGGAGTTTTCCTGGCCATGGCCAAACAGTTGGTCATTCAGAATCAAACCAAGTGCAGGAAACCACCGAGATCCCAGGTAAAATCTTAAGCCTGCCTCAAAAATGCAGCTAATTTTCAAAGGGGAGAACTTTTAAACCTTACCAGGGCAGTGCAGCAGGAAGGAGGGGTGTTGGGGGTTGTCTCAGCAAGGAAGGCAACACTTGTGGTTCAGGGCCTGGTGTTGCTTCAGGAGCTGGGAGCCAGGCAGCACACACAGTGTCCTCTCATCATTCATCTCCTAAAGAAAGAGATGTGATGAGTAATAAATTACCAGAAATTCAGCAGGTTTCCAAAACATATCTGCCCTGCACGCTTCCAAAAGGCCAAGCTCCTTCTACATTCACCTTTACCACCATCAAAGGCTGAGGGAGGGATTTGCTGGCAAAAAAACCCTCTGCTCTCCTATAGCCTCATTCCATAAATGCAGATATCTTCAAGCCACATCAACCATAACTGTACTGAATATGGGACAGTTTCTCTTCAGACTTTCATAACAGAATATGGGACATAAGGTCAGGCCACAGATACCTCATTTTGCTTCTAGACTCTCAGTTTGCCTAAGCAATACCTGTCAGGATTGGGAAGTCAGACTCAGTCAGTCTCAGTGGGTTTGTGTGTGCATCACTAAATGACCCAATATGTGCATCTCCCATCAGCAACACTGCCTGGTTACCTACAGCTGAACTGCTTGCTCATCCATCTCAAGGCTATTCCCAAACAGAAGCTCTGCTAAATATTACCTTTATCTAAGTAGTAACCACAAAAAAAATAATTTTCCAAACAAAATAAAGTAGACACCAACAAATACAAGGTGAAACGTCCAAGACTGTAAAAAATGGTGATAGTTTCAGGTTTTCACAGCAGAGCTATCCAGGTTTCTACTCACTGTGCATCCCAGCTGTGCTGAACAGGCTGTGCAGTTCTCACTGTTGATGTTGACAATCAGACATTTAGTGGGCCAGAAAGTGGGACAAACTTGAAGGGAGGAACCCGAGAGCGAGTCTCAGCCTCGCTGGGGGTGGTGAGAGCTCTCCCTGTCGGCTGCTGCGTGCTCTCCTTTCACCAAATCAGCCTATTCTGGGGCCAAAAATGTCTGTCAAGAAGGTCACACATGGACATATCTCCCCTCTGCTCTGGAAGGTCCCAAAGCCTCCTTGGAGCAGTTTCCCAACGAGCTTCCCAAGCCCCTGGAACATGGAGGAGGAGTGGTTGGTGTCCAGGGCTCAACTGGAGCAGCACAGCAGGTACAAGAGGACCCCCAGCCACCCACAGGAGAGGGGCAGCAGTGATTCCTTGGGCTCAGCACCCTGCACAGCACCAGCACCCCCTCCCTGGGCCTCTCTCAGCTCCATGTGATCTCCTCCTCCCAGAGAGGCTCCACCAGAGCACACGTGGCACTTTGGCACCTGCCTCTGGGCTGTCCTGGCACCGGCTGCTCTCTGGGCAGTGGGGACACTCACCTGGTTTGGTTTCAGGGCTTTGATGGGGTGCAGAGCAGCAAAGAGACCCTGGTGGAGACCCCCAGGCTGGCTACCCTGGAGAGGTACAGGTACAGCCCCCAACCCCTGCCCTGTCAGGATCTCCTCCTCCTATTTCATCACTGCATCACCCCCCCCATTTCAGGGGGCTCAGTTGAGGAAGTAAATGGACTTTCCCCTTTTAGACCTTAGAAACAATTAGAAAAAAAGGCCAAGTTTGGTAATTTTGGAAGACCATTAAATTTCTCATGGCAAACCTGCATCTCTAACAAAAAGTTTCCGTTGTTCAAAATGTCACTTATTTCTTTGAAATAGTTTTCCCAACAAGCCAAGGCCTAAGAGTTCAAAACCACTGAAAAAGCTGTCTGCAGTCACCTTAAATGGGGGAATCCCTCCAAGAAACTGATGCCCAAGTGGGAGGTCTCACTTACAGCACTTTTCCACTCAGTCTTCTGGCAAGCCAAGACCCAAATAGCTAATGAAAAAAAACCCAAGCAGATTATTTTTAATCAGAGAAGTAGGGCGAAGCACTTACCAGACAGCCCTGATTTAAAATGGAAAAGTTAAAAAAGGTCAACAACCCTCTTCAAGGCACCTTCAGGCAGGGAAAGCAAAGCAGCAGTTTGGGCAGCAGGTTGGTTTGTTTGCCTGAAGTCAGGTGGGGCCTCGTTCATCTGTAGAACATTCCCCTCCCCTGTTTGGACCTCACCAGCACATCCTGGAGGTTCTGCCCACTGAGTGGAGCTCACTCCTTGGCTGACAGGGTTTTCTAACCAGGGTGAAGATGACTGAAGAGGCTGAAGCTCCTGCCCCTGGAGTCTGCACTCTCCGTGTCAGGTGTGAGAGCGGGGAGCACACGCACGTCGTGAGGATGCTCTTCACCGACACCATCGGGGACCTGCGCCAGCACCTCGCCCGCATCAGGTGTGCACAGCACCTCCTCCCCTCCTTGCCTGGCTCTGTAGGGCCCCAGGGAAGGGCCCCTGGTGGCTGCTGAAGGCCTTGGATCTTCAAACATCAGCCTGAGCTGGGTCACAGCTCAGCCCTCTGCCCCTTCAGCTCCCTCACTAGATGCTCTCCTGGCAGCACTGCTGGGGTCCCACATAGCTCAGAGTGTTTCATACCCACCTTTGCCATGCAGCAGCAGAGATAAACCTCTTCTGCCCTCCCAAAATTGCCATCAGACCCAGGCCATCACTGCCTTTGCTCAGCAGCACTCCCATGACTAGTGCCACCATTCCCAAGGTGCTGGTGCAGCCTGGAAGCTGAGCTGCTGGATCAACACCCTCTTTGCTCAGCCATCTCAATATCCCAACCCTTTTAATGCTGCCCGAGGGCTCACTGAGCCCTTCAGGAACAGTTCCAGATGGCTGAGGGCCCCTTTTGCCCTCCCCTCTTCCCACTGCTGTTGCAGGCCAGGGCCCTGGCCTTGGTCTGAGCCCAGGATGAGCTCAGTGCTGTCGGGATGCACGAGCCTCCTTCCCCCTGCAGCTGTGCAGCTGGAACAGCTGCTCCGTGCCTGGCTGGCTGCAGAGGGCTGGGAGCCCTTTTTTCTGCTCTTGCATAACCACAGCTGGATCAGCCAGAGCATCTCAGCAAAACCTTGGGGGACCCCGTGAGTAGGAAAGATTGTGCTGTTCTTTCCTAGGGGTGGAGACTCCGACTCGTATGAGATCATCAGCACCTTTCCCCAGAGGCTGTACACAGACAACTCCAGGAGCCTGCAGGAATGTGGGCTGATCCCCAATGCCTCCTTGCTGCTGAGGAGAAGAGACCCCTCCCAGCAAGAGGGACAGGGCTGCAAACACCATAACAGCTCCTCATCCCAAGCTCTGCAAGAAGGAGCTGCCTCTCACCTGTTATAACCTTCCCTGGCTGGGAAGAGGTTTTCTTTCCAGATTTAGTTTCCTTGTGCCATTACCTGGGATGGAGAAAAGCCTGGAGCAGTGGTTTGGCCTCTCCCTGTGGCAGAGGGTGCCAGGCCCACTCCTGCTGCCTCGCAGTGGGTGCTATTCCCCAAGACAGGTGGGCTCCCAACCCAGGGACACTTCCATCAGCTCACACCTGGGGTCCAGGCCTGGTTCCTCATTTGTGTGGAGTTACACGGGCTGATCCCTGCCCAGGGGAGCCTGCCAGCTTCACGCTGGCTCAGGGACTCTATAGCAGCAGGACACACACACAGCTGGGGCAGTTTGCCTTCCCCACACAGCTGGTCCCCACAGATTTCAACTGCACTGACACCAGGGGGGGAACAGGCTCAGTTCTACAGTCCCTGGTGAAGCTAAACCTGAAGGCCTTGAGCCATTGCAATGCTGGGACTGAGCCAGACTCGACTCAGCCGGGAGATCCTGCAACTGGGCTTCCTGTACGTGCACAACTCCTTCCCTTGGACAGCCCCCAGCTCCAGCAGGGCCCAGGCTCCAGCCTGCCTGCACTTACCCGCCCTCCCTCCCTCCTCCTGCTCCAGCTGGATGCTGCAACAGGACACCGTGTCATTGGAGAAGAGCATAATCCCTCCACGGAGCCCTGAATAAAGCATCTTCCTCCTTCTCCGTGGGCTGGGGCTGCACTTTGCAGGCCCTTTTTCCCTTCCCAGCACATTCTTCCCATTCCAGCTGTGACAAGCTCCCACTTGACTCCCAGCTGACAACACTCCCACTCATTTGAGGCAGCGCCTTCTGGCAGGTTCCCTCTCAGCAGACCCAGCCCTCATTAAAGGCTCCCAATGAAACCCTTTATTCCTGTTGCAGCTTCCACTTCCTTTAGATTCCAAAGGCACAGTTACTGCGGAAGCTCAGAGTGCCCGGAGCTCTTCCCAGACCCCTGTGCTGGACCTGGACCCTGCACAGCTCAAATGCAGGAAGCAAACCAGCTGCTTCCACCAGCTTCCCGTGACCAGTGACTCAACCCACACAGCCCTCACTCAGCTTCCTCCTTTTTCCACCTGTAGTAGATCCAGGGGCAGCCTTTTCCTCTGCCCCTCTGTCTCCTGGTCTATAACCAGCCAGGTAATCTTTGTGCCAGGGGGTTGTTTTTTGCTCACGTGTCTGGCTGAAGCTGTCCCTGCCTCGGGCTGTTGCTCTCACCACGCAGAGGAGAGGAATGTTCGAGTGAGGAACCTGTCACTACCACGCCGTGGGACATTCAGACAAGTCCTGTGAGCCTTTGATTAGCAGCAGCAATCTAAGGTGTTAAGATCTTTGTGTCAGGCTGCAGCAGCGAGTACAACCGACTTGGCTCCCCAGAGCTGGAAATGACTCAGAATCATTACGTAGGGTGATGTTTAACCTGTAGCCAAAATAAAACCAGATTTAAAAGGAACGCAGGAGCAGCAACGTGAAAGGTACAGTAACATTTAATAGCATCTCGGAAGACAACACTGGTTATAAACTTGCTTTTTGGCAGGAAAACAAAATGCACTTGGTCCAGGATTGCAAAAAAGCCAACTCAAAGAGCAAAGAGCAGACAGCTGGAGCATCAGCTGGTCTGGGGCAGCCCTGAGCCATTAATACTCACGAGGGAGCCCTGGTCATGGTGGAGGATGGCCAGAACAGCACAGATCTCCCTTCCAGCCCCATCCATCCCCCCAGGCAGCACAGATGCCACAGATCCCAGCCTTCGCCCCCAGCTCCTCCACGGTGGGTGGTCAGACCCCAACTCTGTGCAGTATTTTTGCATTAAATTAAGACAAACAAAAAAGAATTTACTTAGTTGCCATAATGTCTACAAGTCGAGATGAAAACGGGGGAAAAAAGGGAAAGGAAAAAAAAAAAAAAAGGAAGTGAGGCAGCGGAATTTACAATTTTAACAGCAATGAGGAGAAGTGGGAAGTAACATGCAGCCCTAAGCCCTTCCCTCCCGAGGCAGAGGAGGGGGCTGACGGCCGCCCTGCACTTCACACGCCCCAGAGGCTTTGCTGTTTACAGAGGCACTGGAAGCTGCGGTGAGCCAGGCCCGGCTCTGCTCACAGGCCATGCGCAGCGAGCGTCAGACTTTCTTTGGATCCCTCTGAGATGATGTCGGGGTTAGGCAGGAGGGAATCGGAGGCAGCTGCAATGAGTTTTGGTCATGGGTTTGTTTCCCTGTGCCGGGAATGCAGGTCGCGGTGCCAGGACAGCGCTGACAACCTGGAAGTGAAGGTGGTCGGAGATGAGGGTGCTCAGGAATGCAGGTAGAGTCCAGGAAGGGAGAGGAGCTGGGGCTCAGGCCAGCTTCAGGAACTCCTGCAGAGTGTTTTGCTCCACTGCTTCCACAAAGAGCTCGTAATCCTGCAGGGAAAAGCCACACGGTCGCTCTTAAGGCAAGAGGGTCCCCTGAGAACGTGGCACAAACTGGTTCACAGCACAGGGACCAGTTGGTTGTGCCAAGGATGACAGAGCAAAGCAGGGACAGCGCCACACAGCACAGCCCACGGTCACCCAAAGACCCCTGCCCACGCCCCCTTTTTCCCCCAAGGCACAGCATTCCAAATGGCCATGAATCCTGACAGCACCTTGTCTGTGCACCTCACGAGAAATAACTCCCAGGGTGTCTTGACACCCTTTGTAGCAAAACCAAGGGGACGGGACTGTCACCCACCACCCAACCTCAGGGTGCTGATCCCCAGCACGGAGCGGGAGCCTCACCCCACAGTACTGGTCTCCGTTGACGATCTGGGGTGGGATGGCTTTGGGGTTGCCTGCCTTTGCCCTCATCTCCTCCCGGAGAGCGTTGTCCTGGGAGATATCCACCAGCTCGTACTTGATGTTTTTCCCATCGAGGATTCTGGTTACTTCGCTCTGTTGGGATTTGATCTGGAGCCCGGGTGGGAAAGGCAGGTTAAGGGGAGATGGAAAAGGGCCCGGAGGGTGGGTGCACAGCCCAGCGCGCCAGCCACGCTCAGCACAGTGCTCACGGTGCAGACCCCACCTGGCCACCCGCCCAGCAGGGAGGGATGGGTTTGGGGGATGAAGGGGCCGGTGCGG